CATACAATTATATCCTCATGTTGAAACATACACATACATTAAACACTCATACAATTATATCCTCATGTTGAAACATACACATACATTAAACACTCATACAATTATATCCTCATGTTGAAACATAAACATACATTAAACGATGGTAATCATGTCTCGATTTAGTTTGGGAATGTTCATTGACAATTCAGAGCATAATACAGAAAACTAATTTGGGCGGCGGTAATCGAGCCGAAACTTTCCGAGAATTTGAGCTGAGGTTGTAGGAGCGCTCAAAGGTTTTGGGGTAAGACAAAATACCAAAATACATAATATAAGAAAAAAAAATGTAAACAATATTTTCGTTTGTTTTTATTATTATTATTTTACTTTTTATTTTATTTCTGGCCTAAATTTTTCGAATTTGGGCACTGAAAATTTTGCGCCCAAAAGCTGTAACTGCTCCCAAATTTAGCCTTTATTATCCTCTAAATATTCACTTCAAATGAAGAGTACATTTCCAATTATTTCGTGCTCTTAAATATGACTGTATTTTTAAATACTGTTTTAAACTACTTAGCTACATATTTTGAAAAACAAATTCTCAAATATGATTTAATCGCTGAAAGCTAGCGAAGTATTGAAAACCAATAGGCCCAAAATTTGATAAAAATCACAAAGTGCAGGGTTTGTTTCGCATTAATTTTAAGAAAAATCTTGTTTCTCTCATCGTCTGGCATATTGAATGAAAGGCTTCTTGGGCATGACTTTTGGGGGTAAAATAATTATTCTGAAATGCTGTTTTTACATAATTCCGAGTTGAATTCAGTGAAATGGACAAATTAAAAGGTATGTGAAGAAAAACATCTGCAGTTTACGTGATTTTGAGCAAAAATGTTAGGCCTATTAATTCCTCAAATACTTTGTTACTAATTAATACTTGTCCCTATTACACTAACATAAATGGTTATCACAAGTTTATTTATTTATAAAAATTCACAATCATTACCAATAATATAAATACAATGTTAAAAAACAAACAAATGCTAATACACTCAAAATTGAATGAGGCCCAACATCCCTTCTGCTTGAAAAAATGTATTGAAATAAGTGATTACGCTGTATTTTTACATTTTTGACATCTGCATCAATGCAACCTACATATAATAAACGCCTATAATTGTTCATTGTTGCAATCTACAATGAAAATAAATCTACAAATTATATTTTAGTAAAACAAACAAGATATTTACAAATTTCAATTAATATATATCTTGGATAACAGGAATTTTGGTATTGAGCTACGAGCATATGAAAGTTTTCACATACGAGTAAGCAAAAACTAGAATCTGTTTACTTACGAGAGGGACGAATGCATATTATTAAATTTGACCCGAGATTTTTGAAACAAAAGCCCGAACAATTCTCAACCTTGGCAAGAATATAAATACATTATAATTTAAGGCTCTGAACTTAAATTTTAACCAAACATTGAAAGGAAAATCACATACAAAATATTTGAACTTATACTGTTTGTTATACCTGAAGTTGTTGATCTTTATGTACAAATAAACTTTAACTACCGATATCTTTTGATTAAACTCTGTTCTACATTAATAATACTGTTTTACTGAAACCCATTTTTCCATACGCTACATTCAACTGTAATATATTTGTAATGATATTCTGGGCCCTAATTTTTGACACCATCAATTCAATTGTTATACGTTTGTAATGTTATATTGTGCTCTAATTTCCTATACCCTCGATTCCTCTGTTATACATTTATAATGGTAAATT